GGAACCATGTGCATAATATCAATATTACCAATAAAGCATGGATTGCTAAAGCTGTAAGGCAAATGTCTGGATCCAGTTGGTGGTATGGCACAAAGAACAACTATTGCTAAATATAAGTAAACAGATTTAGATCTTGTAGAAAGATTAGAGTGGATATAGTTTGAACATACTGAATAGAGATGAAAATAGTGGATCGACCACCAGGGAGCATGGTAATAGAAACAGAACTCTAGAGACTAGAATCAAAGGTGACCCCACGGCTCCTAGGCCATGAAACTTCAGCCAGGTTCTATATTCCTTAATTTCCATCCCCTCCCATTTTGACTTTAGATTTCCACATCAGTGTCCATGGAAGTTTCTGTCCCACCCGGTCCTTCAGCTATTTAGTTCCAAATAAACACACAGAGGTTTATATTAATTATAAACTGTTTGGCTGATGGCTATGACTTCTTATTGGCTACCTCTCTCTTAATTATTAACCCATTTCTATTAATCTGTGTATCTCCACATGGTTTTGGCTTATCAGAGAATGCCTGGGAGTCCTAGCTTCCTGGTGTCTAGCTTCCTAGCTACATGGTGTCTCCTCCACTCCACCTATTCCCTTTTTCTAACCACCTGGTTAAATTCTGCCTGTCAATTGGCCCAAACACCTTTATTCATCAACCAATAAGAAAAAACATATATTCACAGCATCCAGGAGGACATTCTACCATCACATCAACTGTAAAAGTCTGAACCAAATTTCTGCACAAGTCTGTAATAGAGAGAGATTGCATTATGGTTTGTACATGAAAGGTCCTCTCAAAAGGTTTTTGAATTGCAGTGCTCAGTGGGGAACATTTAGAGAAGTGATTGGCACCTAAGGACAATGACCTAGTCAATAGCTAAATCCCTGATAAAATCCCAATTTAATGGCATCAATGGGAGAAGATCTAGTTGAAGGAAGTAGGTCATAGGGCACACCCTGGACAAATATAGCTAGTCCCCACGCTAGTCCTCTCCCTTCTTTTTGTCCACACTAATTTGAGTGACTTTGTTCTACCACACCATCAACCATGGTGTTCTGTCTCATCACAGCCTACAAATGGCAAAGCAAACCAATCATGAACTGAAAATTCAGACACTATGAGCCAGGCAAACACTTCTGCCTTTACTATTTATATAGGTGTTTTCTCACTGCACAGCAAAGCCTCTAACACATGTGGATGTTAAGTCTATGTGCCATGTTTTGAATTCTATGTCAGAACTGTCTATGTGAGATGCCCATATTAGAGCATGGATATGAGATATTCCATACAGTTTAGGAGACTTCTTGGTCACACATTGACCTTGCCTTCATCAAGTCTCCCCACCCAGGTATTAGACAAACATAAATACCCCAAACGTCCAATAACTTAGGCAGCTAGCTCTATCTTAATTCGACCTTGATCTCTCAGTACTTCTATGTCAGGGGATATTCAATCATACTGTGAACCCCAAGATTGAATTTGCATTAATTAAATAAAATTAACCTTAGGTCATGAGGCTGAGTTAGCAATTAGGTGACAGAAAGTAATCATAGATCATCGGAGGGCATCTGAAAAAGATAACAAGACACACCGCAAGTAGTAGGAAGGGGCTTTGAGTGTCCAGGCTTTTTCTGTTTTGGTGAAGTAGAAGGATGTGTTTTGTGGGAGATATATGCTATGGAGACCCGGGGAGTCGTATGTGTAGAATTCATAAAAAGGGAAAAAGTCCCATGGCAAAATGTAGATTAATAAAAGCAAGTTAATTTAAGTTACAATAGCTAGTGGGACAAGCCTAAGCTAAGGACTACTTTTCAAAATTCATATGAAGTCTCCGTGTGTCATTATTTGGGAGCTGGCTGGCCAGGCAGAGAAAGACTAGTTACATCTCCATGTTCACTATTTTCATCTCATTATTATGCAAGTGTTCACAAAGGTGCATCACAAAGGCTACATTCTAATAAAACATATAACAACTTGTCCTTTGATGCCTCAAAGATCTGGGAAGAATTTATTTACTCCTCATGTTTAGTCCTGTTAAAAAACATGTACAGAGTACCATTAACATAAGAAAACTCATCAATATCCCCTTATCAAAATGGCATCAACATGTGGCTCACACCTGCAATTCTAGCACTCATGAGGCTGAGGCAGGAGGATTGCTCAGAGTTCAAGGCACAAACAAACAAAAAGTCTTAAGGCCATCACCAAGCAGCAGTCAGGAATTTCTCACTAAGTGTCTTCAGTAGGCAGAGAAAATTCATGACTTCCATGCACATTGCGGGACAATTAGCACTCAAGTGGAGCACTGATGCCCACAGAACCCAGATTTCTTGCAACCCAGAAGAGGTCACATCCTCTAGGTTGAAAATATGAGCTTCAATTCACTGAGAAGACATGGGGAAAATAAAACAAACTACATAAAAAACAGCGTAGGCTGTTCTGGAATAGTTAAACCCCAACTCTGGAACTAGTTGTGATGTAATGGTAGAGGACTGCTTGTAATCTCAATACTTGGGCGGTGGAGGCAGGGAAATCAGGAGTTCAAGGACACTTTCAGCTTCATAGTGGGTAAGATCAAATCTAGCAAGGGCTGCATGTGACTTCTTCTAAAAAACAAAGAAAAAGAAGAAAGGAAAGGAAGAACCCTAGCTCTGCAGTGAAAGTATCTGGGTTCAGTTCTAGCCCTGCAAATCTCAACCTAGCCACGTACCTCTTCCTCATTAGTGGGCATGAAAGCACTGCCCATCTCATTCATTGGACTTGTAAATGCAAAGTAGCTAGAAGTCATCTGGTATCTAAGTAAGAATCCAAGGGTTGGCTGCTAGCTGTGCTTTTGATAGCTGCTCACACAATGAGTGCTTCAGCCGACAGCTGACTTTCTGAATCAGCCTCACATTAGTCGTCAAAGTTTCCAAATTGTGATCAAACAAAACCACCAGACTGATCAATCGTCATGAGAATAGGAAAATCCACAGAACACACCTTCTGTCTCATTAATAAATTTTCTAAATGAGTTTCTCTTCTAAGAAATACAATCATAAATGTAACATGTATGTAAATCTGACTTTTGGTTAACTGGCCCTGTTTTCACTTGGTCCTCTAAGATAAAATACATACAATTCTTCACTGCGCTGATGACCTGTAAGTGTGGGTCAGTAGGATGGAATATTTTCTAGTGGTCTTTGCCTCATCGGAAGACTGCCTCCAATAGTAATAGACCTCAGAGGTCATTAACAATCTCAGGAAGAATTCTCTCACATTTAACAAATAGACAGGTGTGTGGTAGCCAAATGCTATATGTGGCTGTATTCTACATGCCAAGAATTGCAAAGAAAGCTGGCAATAGATCCTACTGTGGTTCCTAATGAATGAACTCCAGCACCAGAGAGGACTACAAACAAATATGACTGGATTTACCCTGCCACAAAGTACTAAAAATCATCAAAGTTACTTTAGCAATTACTTGGGAAACATATCTCTATTAAAGCTTTCAAGAATTTATATTAGTTTTAATATCCAACTTCATCTCATCTGATATATAAATGAGCTACAATTCTTTTTTTTTATTGCAATGTCATTGTTCCAGGCCAAAGAGTCAACATGGAAAAGAGACTGTCATATAAGAGTGGTGTGTGTCTTCCCACTGGGCTTGTCCAGTGTTCATGGGTGAACAAGACAAAGCAACCCAGGGTTCACTTTAACAGTAATACCGCTAAAACAAGTTTGCTCTAAAACATTGTAAGATAAAGGTTTTCACATGCATAGGCTACCCAGAATGATGTTTTCTGGGGTAAAGAGGAGTTTAAATACACCTCCTCAAAAATAATGCAAATCTTACCAATTCCAGAGAAATCAAGCTCACAGAAATTCCTCGAATTTCAGAAGAAATCACATTTAGTCACTATGTAGTCAAAGTATGAGATATAATGACACCCTGGCCCTGTTCATAGTTGGTGACTTGTGCGATACCAGATAGCTGACTGAATTTCACAGAGGAAGAAATATTGAAATGTATTGTGAACCCCAAACGCTATTTTTCTTACAGGAAGAAGTGAAGCTTGGAAAAGGTATGAGTGGCTTCGGGTTATTTCTCTAAACCACTTTTTCTATGATATAATATTCATATTTCAGAAAAGCAAAGAAGAGGGAATGCAGAACTGTTCAAAGGGCTCTGATGTCTGCTCATAACTGCCCAGGAGCAGAACAGGAAAAGCAGAGTTAGTGCCAGCTTTCTCCAGAAGACTGATGTAAAGTAAGACCTTGCAAAAACTTCTCCAGCCAGTTAAGTAGACAAGGATATTAGACTTCTCAGAACTCCTCCCTGCACGCCGCATGGTGACCAAGAATAGACATTTCACAGTCTTAACCCATTTCTAATGCAGAAGGAATTCCCCCTCCCGGTGTCCCATCCTCCTAACTGTCCAACTAACCACACAAGTACCTCTCCTCAGCCACTGACCCATGCATTGCTGGCTCCTCGCCTCTCTCATCAGATCTTTGAAACAGCCCATTCTTTGGACTTCATCATACCTCCCCAAAAGGGGGCAGGAGGGGGGATGTGCAGAAACACATTGGAGTCTAAAAACAAGTCAAGATATTTCCCTTTCGACGGGGTTTCGTGCAAAGACCTTGTAGAAAGTGAGCAGTTACACCCCCTTTATGAAATATACACTCAAACTCGGGGTGGGGGGGGGAGTGTGTCAGGTGCTTGGAAAATATCAGGTTGAAAGTACTGGACCCTCCCTCAGTGACAGTAGTTCTTCTGGGCGGTGGCGCTCCCTGAGGTCTAGTGTGTGATAACGTTCCCGCCCCATAGAGGATCAGTGACATCCTCAAGTTCTCATGCCTAGTGCCTGGCAGCACCCCATCCCTCTATCGCTTCCGGGAGAGACCTGGTCTCTGCCTTTGCGGTGGTGTCACTTGGGTAGGGCGGGGGCGCACGGACCTCAGCTGCTGTCTGAACGCTTTCCGGAGCTGGCGGGAGCCACTTACATGCCGGGCTGGAGCTGGAGGGCGCTTCCTGGCGGCCAGCGGTCGGCGGCCCAGACGCAGAAGCACCAGAACCACAGTGGGGAGGTCATCACAGTGAGGCTAAGCCAGCGAGGCCACCGCCCCAACTGCGCGCGGTGCGCTGCTCGGGATCTGCAAGTCCGAATCCCGCGCAGAAGTTGGGCTCGCTAGGCAGAAGTTGCAAGTGCCGGGCTCGCTCTCGAGGACTGCGAAGTGTGTCTTGCAGCGGAGGGCGCGGCAGCAGCTCGACCCCAGCAGGCGGCACAGGCAACAGCGAGCGCGCGCTAGTAGTGACCGGCCAATCCAACCCCAGGCGCTGTAGCCCAAGAGCTGCGCAGCCCCTGCATTGCCGGAGACAACTGGAGACCAACGATCCCAGCGGTCCTGCAGCCCCCGCAGCCCTGGTGCCATGGCAACGCGCTCGCCGCCCTCTGGCCCCATTAAAGGGACAGCCCCCTGGCCACAACGCGCTCCTTGCACTGCAGGGCGCCCCCTGCCCCCACGCCCTCTTCACCCTCTTTTCTCCAAGGGGCGCCGGGCGGTGGCTCCGGAAGCATCTGGCACCTCACTTCGTGTTCTTCCACCAATAATCCACACAACTCTACTCCCAACCTTTTCCTCAAATCCTTTGAGCATCCTCCGCCCCAAGCCAGCAAAGAAGCTAAGCAGTGCCGGCGTTCCCCCTCCAACACCAACCTGCTTAGGACCAACCAGCTGCTTATCTGCCACCAGCGGAGAGCAAAAGCAAGCTGACTTTTGATTCTCTCTCGCTCAACTCCCTCCCACCTGGAGGCTGTGAGGACAGTCTGAGCACAGCTCTTGGGAGGTCAGCTTGAAGTGGGGAAAGAATTGCAATTGACCGAGTCCAGTCTGCTGCCAAATCGACAGTTGCTGCAGACATCGCTGGCGCATCCAAAAGTCCTGGATATTCAAAATGAGATAATCTCCCTCTGCTGTATTTGGCCACCATCACACTCATATTAGGCACCAAGAGTTTTAAGAGGCACCGGCTCTTCTCCAAACCTAGTCCCCCCTTCCTTCAAACCAGCTCTGGGTGCCTAAAATCCGAAGAGCAACCTCCAGTTGCTAGCCCCCACGGTCCTTCCAGAAGGGAACAGCGTCTGCTCCAATCGGGAAGCTTAGGCTGTGGTACTGGCCAGAACTGCCAGGGATGCGCAGCCAAGAGCAGAGCTAGCTGAGAGGAGTGGACAGGAGTGGTAGGCAGTAGCTTCTCAGGCCGGAGGCTAAGCCTCTGCCCGGCGCCAGCTGCTGTCTGGAAGGCCACAAGCTTTGGGAGTGTGTTTCTTGAAAATAAAAATCTATGGCGCATCATGCCCTCCAACAAGGACAGCCCAGGCTTGGAAGCCATCATCTGCGGTTTAGCACCAACAAAACATACAGCAATCTGCAGGGGGACACCTTTTGCTTTAATTCCTAAACTTAGCAAAAGTGGCTGTCCAGAGAGTTGTTCCTTGTCAAATACTTAAAAGAGGTACCATCTGGCTTCCTCGCTCTTGGAGTCCTAAAAGGGTCTTTCTTAAAAGATGTTTTTGATTTCCTCTTTCCCTCCATGGTTGAATTAATCCTGCCCCTTAGTTTCCATCTTTCAAACCAATGTTCCGTTATTTCTTTTAGCTTTTCTGACACTGAGAAAACAACCGGGCATTTCTGGAGGGACTAGGAGGATTCTGTTGAGGTGTCTTTGAAAAGAAAATAAAGAAGGTCTGTGAGAGCGCATCATACCAACATGCTTTAGAACTTCGTGGCTGTGCTCCTTGATTTTGAGTTGGAATTCTTGCAGTATCTTCTGTTTGACTTACGTATCATTATACACTCATTCTTTATTTAAGTTAAACTTGCATATGTACACGTGTCTTCTTTATTCAAGTTAAACTTGTGAACAAATTTCAAAACTATAGATGTAAAGCTAGTTATCTTTTGGCATATATCCTGAAAAAATAATTTTAGAGATGCTTGTACAAAAGAAACATTATTTAATATTATTTAAACTTCCCTAAACTGTAAAAGAGGGATTCATTCTTATTTTCTTTTGTGAAAGCCATTCTGTATACAGCAGGCCTTGGAGACCAGAAGCCCAACCCCAGAGTTACTGAGCCTAGTGACAGGACTCATGTGTGCTCCAGAGGTCTGAGGTTGCCTGACCACCTTCTAATTAGTTCTCAGCCTAGACTGCTAAACCACTCTGATACTGTAAAATCCACACTTCATTCTTCTAAGTCATCAGGAATCTCTTAGTCATCTTTATTTTAAAAAGAAATAATAATAGCAAAGTTAATTATTTGATCTCCCCTCCTCTTCTTGGATTGGTCCTCTTCCAGAGCAATGCTAATGAATGGTCTGATGGCCCACGATAAGCAGGGTCCTATGGGGATGAGAAGGTAAGACAGTTATTGACTAATACACATCAACAGTGTGTTCTGAACCATGTGTCCTGACTGTGTACAGTGTATGCAAAGGTGAAAAGATGAGTCCTGTCCTTTCTAGTTCCACTTCTTAAAGCTCCAGGTTGTTTCAATACAGTTTTGATCTTAATTATGTTAATGAAAATGTACAGAATACCTAAAGATAATAGGGTAGTTTAACTGTCTCCTGATATTCCCTTGGAAGTGCCAAGCCTTTCTTTGCTTCTGGACTACTTTTAATTCTGTAGGGGTCTACAACTACTCCCACCCACTTCTAGAATGCAGAAAGTTTGAAAAATAAACATTTCTTCCTTTGTATTAAAGAAAGCCTCATATAAATAACAGTCTATATTTATTACAAAACCAAACTTGAAGCCATAGCTGAATCTCAAAAATATTTAAAGACCTAAAGATAATGGAAAAAATACAGAAATACATGTAAATTATCTGATTTGCATGACTATACTGAAGGATAGCTTGGGTGTGTGGGAAGTATATCAGTCCATTGAATATCCTGCATTTGAATATTTTTCTTTCGTGTATATTAGTTTGAAAGCATATTTATTATAGATGACCATTGAGAGCACTTCGGATGTGACAGAATACATATGACTGGTGTATATTCCATAAATTGAGGTTGATTTCAATGTATTCTTTCATGGATAATAATCTAAATACAACATCATACATCCTAAGCAACATCATTTCATGAAATGACCTACATGTTAATATTTTCCCATGAACTGAATGAATCTGATTTGGATTCAGCTCCCCTTTAGTATCACATTCATACACACACAAAAAAAAGAAAAAAACAGCAAGAGACTGCAGCAGTAATGCAATTAGTGAAGTACTTGTAGGAGCCATTAGGAGGATTGGGGTTTGATCTTCAGCACTCAGGTAAAGAAGCATAACCTGGTGACACGCACCCATGATCTAAACACTGAGGAGATTCCCACAGATGGCTAACCAAGCCAGTTAGCCTAAACTAATCTGCAAGCCTGGAGTCCCAGTGAGAGAGCCTGTCTCAAACAAACAAACAAACAAACAAACAAACAGAAACAAGAAACATATTGGAGGGATTCTGAGGAAGGACACCTGAGGTTAACTTCTGGCCTCCAAACATATGTATGCATGCAAATGTGTGTGTGCTTGTTCCCCACTATGAAGCCATACACACCTGCCCATACTAGGTACACACTTAAGGAAACAACTAGTTCTTGGTTTGATCAGTGAGCATCAGGAAATCTGTCAGCTACAGTTTTTCATATTAAAGCAACAACACAGCTCTCTGGTTTCAGGCTATTGTGATCACATAAATGAAGCTGGAAATGGAAAAACAATTTGCCTTTATGGCCTAAAGTGGCAGGCATTATTAAATTAGTAATCCAAGAGAATGAGTTAGGTATGAAAAGTACTGATTTCAAGACCTAAAGAGAAATTTAGTATTAATAATATCCCCTGCTCAGACATAAATTTCATTGAAAGGGTAATCCAGAATCATCACTAATTGAGTTCTATTTGTTCTCAGATATATATATATATATATATATATATATATATGTGTGTGTGTGTGTGTGTGTGTGTATATGTGTGTGTGTGTGTGTGTGTGTGTGTGTGTGTGTTTATAAACCAACAAACCAGATAGAGTCTTTTAAAAAGGCCCAATATTGCTGACAAATGTTACCTTTGAGAATAGCCCAAATGCTTGGAGGGGCTTCAGGGCGATGCCTCATGACACCCCCACTGATTGCATACCTGCATCGTAGGAGTGATAAATTATAGCCTCTTCCTTGTTGCAGGGAGGTGAGGTAAGCCAATTTCATGCTTTGTGTATGCTGGTTGTAAAAGGGAGTGCTTACCTAAAAGGAAATAGATTTGGACCAGATGTTCCTCAAATCTTCTTCAGCTGCTGCTGAAGCTTCACAGACACCAAATACTTTATCTTCTCGTCTATCTTCTTCTAATTGAGAAATTGTTGATCCATGCAGTTCGACAGACAGGCTGCTGCAAAAGCCTTCCTGCCAATGCTTTTCAGCACTACTCTCCAGCACACAGAAAAACTCCTAGTGTCTGTATGAGAACTGAGCAAAAAGCAAGCGCACGCCAACCCATTCAGCAGGTGTTGTGGGTTGAAAGAGGAGGTCAGAAAGCAATTCTTCAGAGGGCAGCTTCTGTCACCAGCAAGTGTAATAAATTGCCATTATAGAAGTGCCTACAAAGCACTAATGAGCCATGTACACTGAAATCTTGATGTCAGGCAAAATAGAATGAAATTCACCCAGGAACCAACTCATATTGTCACGCCAAGATGTATCTAATCATTCTGATTTTGATTTCATCTGCCACAAAATTTTGTCCTTACAAGTGCACAGCTAACTTTGTCTTCTTAAAGAAAAATGACAAATCCAACATAATGTCTTAAGACATTTGTTTAATGCTTTATCTAACACTTTTTTTTAAATCCCACAACACTTGTTAGTCACAATGATTTTAAAATTGTAAATTAAGATGGGACTCCATTATATTTACTGGAGCATAAGGAGAAACATGGGCAGACACATTGCTGACGTGTACCTTTGGTTTTCAGAAATAACCCTTGTATGCCTGATACTGTTATCTAACATCAAAGTACAGTCATAATTTTT